AACTGAAAGAGCAAAGATATTTGCATGAATGCTTTCGAGGGTTGACTTGACCAGACTGTCTTATTTATTTTAAATCGAATATTAGAAATTTGTGAAGGAACATTCAAAATTGTTTATTACAGGTAAGCACTGTGAATAAGTGAACAGTTTAGAAGATGTGATTGAAAGTGATAAAACTCTTGTTAGATAAATAATTGATTCATGAAGGCAAGCAAAATGGATAAGGGATGAGTGACTTTACGATGAATAGATCTAGACCAGATTGATGGATTAAAGGATGGATGGATGAATAAATGAATTGATAAATGGTGATGGGTGAATGCAGGGGTGCATGCACGCGGATTGAATGTAGGCTGGTGGATAGGTGAATTTGGGAATCATTGCTACGAATTGACTCTAACTAATGTGCTTTTACTAGATAGCTTCTCTCTTATTTCTGTTAGGATACTCAGGGGCTACTTTGGCATGTTATCTAATGCAGTCAGACGGGAACGCGATGGAGCAGAAGCTTGGCCCTTCCTCCAATTTTCCATCAACTCACAGTGATTCGTAGATCAATTAGCTTGCTTTGTTCACACAAGACGCATAATTTTTGGCTCAGAGATGAGCCTGGACTCTCATCTAAATACCTTACCGCTTCCATCAGTTGCTGAAGAATGAATGAAGGACCCTACGTGCATTGTGCATTGGGAGGCCATTGAGCAAAATTGAAGAAGCCGTCGGGATTGGTGCAACGCGTAGAAGATGAATGCACCTGCGTAAAGAGTTTGGAGGTATTCATTTTTGTGCTTTGCTCCTGCTTAAATATAATGCATTGATTGGCGTTGTATATCGCCTCCTAGGTTAGGTGGGCACTTGAGACTTCGTTGTTATATTTCTGATGGGCAGCATGGACTGCTGAACATGCCGGTGGCCCATCCCTTCTGTGCGTGGGAATGTGCTGTGGATGCGAGAATCCGTGTCGACCCTTAACAGAATGTTTGTAAATGACACTCGGCAACTATTTTTATTCCCTGTTTTCAGGAATGCTGACAACACTCGTTAATCATCTGAAAAATCTTGTGACGGAGCTGTCAGCGGTTCCTCTATGAAGATTTCCACTAGGTTAACCCGCGGCGCACTCCAATCGTCATACGAATGAATGCTTAAAGACATCACTATTCAGAACAGCCTTTTTTGAAAATGATTGAATGAAATTTTACTGACAAAGTCTTTTTGACTCCTTTCCTCCATTCTTTCACCTCAACGTTTTCAATAGAATTATGCGGTTTATTTACAATTGGTTGAATCCAACTCTACCTCTACAAATCCGCCTACATTTCAGAATTGTCCATTAGTAGATTTACTTTTAGTCTTCCATTCACCTGTCTTAGAAAAAACAATAATTCTTCCCTAGTAAGCTAAAAATAGATGGTCACAACCAGTTGTAAAAATAATTTGTGCTAAATTCTGCTTCTTGGAGGTCGATATGCTTCGTGTATTAGCCTAGACTGACACCATTTTCCTACTCGCATTATGCATACCAGCACTAGTGGATTCGTTGCCTTCACCCTTTCAGTGCTCCATCACATTCCAAGTCCACCAACACTTGGGTCATTTTTGAGCCAACTCACGTTTGCAGGGCTGCATGAAGGTGACTGTTGTGCAAGTCATTGACGTGAGAAATGAATTGGAATATCAAATGGCTTTTAACTTTCTAGACTAATATTTGCAGGAGACAACGGTAAACGTGCTATTGCATGTTTTTTATGGTAAAAAGTCGACGTTGAAGAAAATGTATTTGCATAGCCATATACCAATGAATAAAATGTGCGATAAATGCTAACATAGAAAAGGTACTTTTTTTTCCATAAAAAACTAAATGGTTGTTATTATAAATTTTGCTAAAAAATATTTAGGCAAGAATTTTGAGCATTCACTATCGTAGGTTCTTTCCTTTTTAGGACGTTAGTTTTGTATGAATTTGTCAAAGATCGTGCGTTTTGCTTCTCCAGCTTGTGGAGGACTCAATCGGATTTGCATGTGCGTACATGAATTGTTTGCGGCGGTGGTTCTTGACGGTTTTGCTCGTACTTGCTGTAGGTGTTTATGGTAGGTGGAACTTCAGCTAACTTTTTCAGACTCTTGATTTATTAGAAGTCGAAGTAGAGCTCGTCCTACTCGTCTTAAATCAAGCTCTGACCTGTGCCTAGCATGTCGTTATTTTGAGTCATAGTGTGTACGGTGTCCTTGTTGTGTTATCTATTTGTAAATTGTACGTGCCTAACCGGTTTGACCTGTGAAATATGACTGGAAGTCTTTGTCCACTTTTTAGTCCTTTTCAGACAACTGTGCGTCCGATCTTTTATAGTTCACTTAGCAGAAAGTTATTTCTCGTGAATGCTGGCATTGCTGCTGTTTAAACAGTTTTCAGGATGGGGTCAGATATTGATATTTGCAAGTTCTATTTAATGTACTTATCCACATACTCGAATAAATAATCTTGAGGAGAAGTGAATGTAGCCTCAGTTGGCTCAAGCCTACTTATGCAGGTTGTGCTCTTCACCTTTGTACTTTTATATCAGCACTGTTATGTTATCGTCGTCTTGTTATGTTATTGTCGTCTTTGACGACGACTTACAATATAAATGGGATACAAGGGCAGTGTAAGCACATATCTTAGGCGATATTTGAGGGGTTGTTTTCCATTCGTAAATGTTGGCTGATAAACCATACAGCATTGGAGGAATATTAGTATACAACTGTGATTTCAGTGGACTTTTCACATGCCCTAGTAGCATCATTAATTTTTTTCACCTCTTAAGTTTGATACAAGATGTACGAAGGGAGAAGTGTGAATGTCTATGTTCTAGGAAGCCTCGGGGAGCTATAGCTATGACCACAATGACATCAATCTGAGCATTAGGTGAATTGCCAGCAAAAGAGCATGGTTTGACTTACTACCTACTCACACTGCAGATGATATAATTAGGATATGCTGGGTTTATGTGTTAACGAGGATAAGCTGGTATTGAGGTTGTTGCCTATTTCCGACTT